GGCAAGAGCCATTATTCGTCCTGTGAAGACTGGACTGGACTGGACTGGACTTCAAGACCTTATTTGTTTTTCTGTTCCAAGGTGACGCTATTTGTGTATAAAAGTGCGCAGTTTGACTGCGAGCTTTAGGTGTTCCCTGTTATCGTTCCCGCTGGTGTCTCTTGGTTCTTCATCGTTTATTTACGCGGAGATGCTTTCGTCAAATGTATTGAAGTCGGTTTGTTCCAAAGCAAATTCTCTGTTGTCTGGGAAGTTGGCACTCCCTCTCCTGAACTCGTCCAGTTGTTATTCAACGGAGACCGATGATATTCCTTTCNNTTTTACAACAAGGCTTCGGCTATGGTTGAATCGAAGCTTATAAGAGATTTCAAACGACGTATTCCCGAGCACGAAAAAGCCAAAATTGTGAAGGGCACCTTGGGGATTCTGAGTCCATGTACTCATGTATTCGAAGTCAATCTTCCTTTCCGTCGGGATGACGGAACGTTCGAAATGGTGCAGGGGTATCGTGCCCAACACAGTGTTCACCGAAGGCCAACAAAGGGAGGTATCCGCTACAGTTTGGATGTCAACAGAGGCGAAGTGATGGCTCTGGCGGCAATCATGACATACAAATGTGCCGTGGTAGATGTGCCGTTTGGCGGAGCAAAAGCCGGTCTTTGCATTGATCCTCGTTCGTGCTCAGCGGGTGAACTTGAGAGGATAACTCGCCGCTTTGCTTTGGAGTTGTGCAAGCATGGATTCTTAGGTATGTTGTTATTTGAAATCCTACTGTGAACTACTCCACGCTTCCAGGTCCTGGAACCGATGTGCCTGCACCTGACATGGGAACAGGGGAGCGTGAGATGAGTTGGATCGCTGATACCTATGCAACGACTCTCGGTAAGCCGGTTTGGTTAATGTGAATTTGGATATCGGCGTTTTTCAGAAGTAGAGCAGTCCAACTGCAGTTAAATGGCATTACGAGATTAGTGTTGTAGTGTTTTAGATTACCTTAGTGTCGTAAACAGTGAGATCGTTTACACCCTTCCGTTTTTGCTGTTTGTTTTCTGGTCGACTTTAGGTATTTAGATGATTGTATTATATTGGAAAATGGTGTGTGATATCGAGTTCGATCACACGTATAATGTACCTGTTACGTAACAATGTTCGAAATGTTCTGATTCCGAACAAAGTACGTGTTTGCCTTACCCTACATAGTTTCAGTTTCACTTTTTACGACCACTCATTAGACACTTTCGTGCACTGGATTTAGGTACCGTCTCATGGCCTCCCAGTTGGATATAGGAAGGAAGGGAAGATTGGAATGTTTAATTCACTGTCAGTGAAAAAAGAGAATTCATAGAGGCTAATGTTGCAACGATAATAAGTATATGCACGAGCGCCTTTGTTTGCGATACACAGACATATCACAGTGTCCCCAACCATTCATTATGCTGATCCTAATGTTCCCATCCAAGAAACCCAACGCGGCCCATGTGGGTAAGTCTTCTGGTCAGGGTTTTCATACCCTCATGCCGGTTCTGAGTTAAACCACCCCTTACTTTTTTCAACCTATTACCTGCCTCAGTGGCGACATGCGTAGAACATGCCCTAACCAATGCAGTCTATGGAGACTGACCACTTGGTGCAGTTTGTGACAGAGGGTCTAGAAATCTGCGCCTAACCTCATCGTTGCTCCTCCGGCTTCCCTACCGGACTCTTGCAGTGCTACGTAGACAGCGGTGTTCGAACGCCGACAGTCTCTATCCTGTTTTCGTAATAGCTAAGTCTCTGAGCCGTTTATCAGAACTGGCCGAACTACCATAGTAAAACCTCGATCTTTTACAAACAGCCGGACGTCACAACGGCGCCACGAATATCTCAATTTGGCAACTGCCAATCGAGCCTTATATATGTATGCCGACATTTCTTTCGTGATGCGTCCGCCGGTTGATATGTAGCTAACCAGATAGCAAAATTTGTTTATTTTATCTACTACTCCAGTAAGTGTAAGGTTGGAGGCTCATCCGGCTTAGTCCTGTAGCAAGATTTTACACTTTGAAGGTACAAAAGATATATTGAAAATAGCTACATTAGCACCTAAGCTTTTACTGGGTAGCACAATGGCATATGTATACTTCAGATCAGACAGTTTGTAGACTGGGATCGAATGGATGCCATTATTCTCGCATAAGGATAGGGCTATTTCCAAATAAAATCTATAACGAATTTAAATGGAAAGAGAGAACAACCCTTGCGATCACCATTTTCTGTGATGAACTCAGGCGCAAAAGTGCCGCAAGCTCGGACTCGGGTTCGGCTGTTAGCATAAAGGGATCGTAGTATTGAGATAAGCTTCTCGGACACACCCTTAAAGGACGGATAGCAGCAGAGATTAGAGCGGTCAACTGANATCTTACAGTGAGATACTGAGGTTAGGAGCAGAGTTTTAGGTAATCGCGATCGTTCACTGGAACAAGTGGTTGACCTCCATGGATTACTCCGGTTGGTTGGTTTTCACGGAGAGCGATGTTTGCAGAGGTAG